AGAGTCATTCTGAAGTACCTGCACTGACATAAGTTTCAAACAGTGAATTACCAAGACATTCAATTAAAATTACAAATGTACACAGGTATTTTAATGCAAGCTTAGTACACTTACAGAAAGTTAGCGGCAAACAAGATTTCCAGGGGAAAGGAAAAGAATTCAGTAAAGACACTAGCATTAATTAAGTCAACCATCCCAGAGACAGCACATTGAATAAAGGGACATGTTACTTCCATAAGTAAATGTACTCATGACATTTTATAATAGAAAACCAACTTGAGAATGCACCATTTCACGGAGTTTTTCCTGCAGTTTTACTGCTAACCACCATGTGTTTGCCCATCAAGAGTAGCTATTTAAAGATTTTTTTGTTATCTATTCACTGGCACTTCTGTGATGTGTACAACTATACTGAGTGTCTCATGAACATTAGTTAATTCTCACAACATCCCAGTGGGATAGGGAAGCATTATCCCCATTTTACAGATTGGGAAAACAGTAGCACAATAAAGTTAAGCAACATTTCCAAGATCACACAGGTAGCTTATGACAGACTTAAATTAAACCTGATTCCTAGTCCTATGCTTTAATAGCATATCAGGAAAGATAGCTCTGCTACTTGCATAACAATACCACATCACCTTTGAAAAAAAATGAAATGTCAGACATAAGAACAGCCGTACCGGGTCAGACCAAAGGTCCATCTAGCCCAGTATCCTGTCTGCCAACAGTGGCCAATGCCAGGTGCCCCAGAGGGAGTGAACCTAACAGGCAATGATCAAGTGATCTCTCTCCTGCCATCCATCTCCATCCTCTGACAAACAGAGGCTAGGGACACCATTCCTTACCCAGTTGCATTAAAGGCCACTAGTAATTTCTGAATCCTACGTTAAACATGAATAAATGTTTTACTCTAACACAGAGCTTCCCCATAATGACAGAAGTACATAAAGACTTCTGAACAAGCCTTCAGACAGCAAGTACCAATGGGAAAAATTCTCCCCTCAGATCTACAGAGAATCTCAATTCTGATATTCCAGGCATGTAAGGAGATTAGACTATTCAAGTCAAAATCTGCTGTACAGATCTTAAAAGGAGAACTTGTCCCCCCATGATGAAACAGTGGGAGAGCATAAAACTCATTAGTAATAAAATCTTTCCTCTAGGAAATGACATGGAACCTTCTCCCTCACCCCTCTACATATACAGAATTTTAATTTCCAGCCATTTTTTCTTCCATATAGATAAAGAACATTTTTATGTTGATTAAGAAGCTAGTATCGACACTTTTGGATGCGCATACAAATGCTAATAAAAGTTTCATTACCAGAAGATAAAAACCTTTATAAATCAACAATGCACCCTGCCACTAGAGTACACACACACACACTTTCCTAAACATGAATTCCTACACAGAAACACTATCTATGGCCTGATCCTGCAAACACTTATGCACATGACTTTACATGTAGGAACACCTCCACTGAACTGGATGGGGCTTACATGTCTAAGCATAGTATCAGGAACTGTGTGCACCATACAATACTTATTGTGCAAGAAGGTGAACCATCAAATTAAATATTGTAGATTAACATTTGTGATTGGTGACTCAGAAGCCACTTGATATCTCTACATAGACTTGCCATCCAACAAAAAAAGTTTGGCTTAGGCTTGCCACAGTCTTAAATTTGTATTTTAAAAAGCATCAGCATGCTATTTTGAAGCATTGGTTTTGGGTACTGCATACTGCAAGACAGAATGTAATAAAGTACTGTATTATCAGATGTTATAACACACTGGATTTCTAGTCACCTATTGTTGCCAGCCACTTTCATGTTGTGGAGAAAAAAAGGTACCATGTAAAACCTTTTAAAAGTTCAGCAGCTTTTTTCAGTACAATAATCAAATACTCAAACTCTCTGGCAGTTTACCATTTCAACAGCAACATATAATGAAGTAATATTTCAAATCACAATAGGCTTCATGTCTGGTGAGCACAAGTTTTGCAAATCCAGGTCAATCCCTGTCATACTGACCACCTCTCTCTACATGATGGACCCAAATACACCTAATGAACAAGTCTTTATCTGTTTACAATTTGTTCTGTTAAATGAACATCTCCATATAACTTTTAAAGCTCTGTACCTTCTTTAACAGACTCCTGTGTGAACTCTATATTCATAGTTGAAGTAACTCCCTATGATGATCTTCTCTGAATTCCTTTGTGCTGTTGCTGGCATTTTAACTGATTTTGGTATTTTTAATTATGCAAATTAAACTTCTGTACATCCTTACTTCTCTAGTGAATATTCTGCAGAAACTGAATAAGTTAGAATCTGCAATTCCACTAGCAAAGATATAACTACAGCCACAAGAGCTATTAAACATAATCATTTAGGATATAAATTAATCCTCAAATGAGGATTTTTTCCTGAACCCAACAGTACACGAATTGCGTAATTAGGGACATTAAGAGAGAGGAGAGGAAATGTCATTTATTTAGGCCATGTCTGCACTGCCACTTGGGCAAAACTTATGTCACTCAGGGATGTGAAAAAACACACCCCTGATACACATAGTTTTGCCACCATAAGCACTCATGTGCACAGCGCTATGTCGGTGGGAGAGCTTCTCTCGACATAGCTACTGCCACTCTTGGTTTTATTATGTCGAGGGAAGAGCTCTCTCCTGTCAACATAAAGTGGCTACAAAAGTGATTTTACAGCAGTGCAACTGCATCGATACAACTGTACCACTGTAAATTCACTAGTGTAGATACAGTCTTTGCCTAGAGAATCAAATGTGGCAAGAGACAGGATACTTACTACAAACCATTTCTGAAATGGTAACTTTTGTGTTCCTAAACCTTAAGACTGTGTTCTGTAGAACAATTACTAAGAGAATTCTCAAGAAAACGTAACATTAAAAGAGATCTTATCTTGAATTAAAGTATTAGGATACTGTAAAGGGAACAGAGGAACTGAAAGAATTAAGTTTGATTTCTGAAGCAATATGTGGAAAGAGCTGCTTGCCTAACTCAAAAAGCCTGGGCATAATACCCAGCAGAAAATGTTAATCTGTGTGCAAGGTGACCCTAGGGTCATGCTATTCCTTTCCCCTTTGGTCCCATCTCCCCAACAGGACCCTGAAATTGAGGGGGGCTGTTTGCTTTTAAACTGGAAAAAAGAATTTAGCAGTTGCTTCACTAGCCTGTGAATACTGCTGATCTATAAAAAAACAGACTTGTAAGAAGAAAAATAAGTTGAAGTTGTTCATAATGTGAAAACAAGAGCAAAACATATTTCACACACTAGCAAACCACTTTTGTTCCTTATTTATTATGCAGAGCTTCCAAGACTATTAAATATTTGTATTTTTTCCCCCCACATCTAAGGCAGAACTACAACATTGGTAGGCACACTTCAACAATTCACCTAAAACTATGCAGATGTTGCCCTTTAAATATTAAAAATATTTCAAATACAATTTGAAACATTCCTCCCTTACAAATGGTACTCAAAGAACTGGCAAGAGAGAAAGAATAAGAGAAAAAACAAGGAAAATACCTAACAACCACTTTAATGAATACTTCACTGCTACTTCTAAAATACTGCCGGTGCTATTACTAAACAGCATTTACTAAACAATACTCTATGTTAGTAATCTACTAACGTGTTTTTGACCATAATATCCAAGTTCATAGATGCTAATCTGTCTCCTAAATAGCAAAAGCATTCCTTTCAATAAAAGGAGCAGCTGATACAGAACAAAAGACGTCCACAGGAAACGTTATCTATAAAGTTGTCTCCTAATCCAAGACAAATAGACGTGAAGGAACAGGAAAACAACCATGCACTAGTAAGTTTCTTTTTCCTGAGCCTCTGACAAAATCCCCTTGTTCACTTGGTTGTGTGCCCTTCTCAAGCTACAAGGGATGGCATTCCTCCTTCACTTAACACCATCGAACTGTGTGCGTTGAGGGGGCAGGAAGCAAACGGGGGCGCGGGGAGGGGGGGGAAGGAGAGGCAAGAGGAAGGAAAGAAACAGAGATCCAAAATCCAATAATCATTACTAAGGCATTACAGGGCACTACACTGCCTGCAGGCTGCAATAGTATCCTTCCTTTCTCTATGTCATGTATGGAGATTCCTAGACATTACAGACAGACATGCATACAGATCCTTTCTAGGGGCGATGGCTTTGATTTATGTCCACAAGACCAGAAACAAGCAGGCTATATCAGACACCAGGGAGGTGTCTCCCAATGCCCTCCATTGCATCTGCTCGCTTTCCCCACAAAAACGCAACTCCAAATAAACGAATAAAAGCAAGATTTTAAGTACTATTTTAAGATATTTTAATAGACCTGACGAATTACCCCAGGCGCCGCAACACCCACCGAAACGTTGTCTCTCTGCGCCAGACAGACCCATTCACACCAGCCCGGCACAGGAACGCCTGCCCCGGCGGCGGCGGCTGCAGGGCCCCCCGCGCCCGCAGCATAAGCCCAGCTCACCTAGGGTCTCCCCGCTCACCCTCGCCGGGAGCCAGGTGTGCGTGTCACCGGCACACCCCAGAGACAGCGGCCAACCCCGGCCCCGGAGCGCCCCCCCGCGCACACCCCATCTCCGGAGCCTGGCCGCTTCCCGACACGCTCGCTCCGGGGCCAGCCCCGCCGACAGCGCCGGGCTGCTCCTGGGGGCCGGGGCGGCAGGGCAGCTCCACGCGGGGGCGGAGGGGCCCAGGCAGAGGGGGAGAGACGGGACCGGGCGGGGAGCGCAGACAGGCGGGGGCGGGGGCTGGAGCGGGGCACAGGCGAAGGGGGCAGTGGAAGGGGCCGGGCAGGGACGCACGGACAGACAGAGCGGGAAGAGGTCGGACACACGGACGGACAGAGCCGGGCGGGGGGAAGCAGGAGCCGGGTCCCCCCCGTGTGCCCCGCTCGCTCTCTCCTTGCCAGGGTGACCCTTCGCCGGGCCCCGGCCGCGCCGCCCCCTCACCTCATATCTGTGCGGGCCGGGGGGCCCTGGTCAGATCCACAGCGAAGGCGGGGGGCGGTGGAGGAGCCGGAGCGGCCACCGCCTCCGCGATACACACCATCCCCTCCCGCTGCCTCCTGAGCCACCCTCGGGGTGGGGGGGGAGCGTGTCACCCTCGCTCTCACAGCCACCGTACTACCGCGCAACCAACCTACTCCCTTCGCCTCCCACCCTCGGCACACCCCAGCTACAACCCGCCCCTCTCAGAAGATTGACGCAAATACTGACCAATCGTAATGCGAAGATTGACACCAAGACAAAGGCTACCCGTAGCGTATAGGGCAGAGCAACCAATCATAAATACCCCTCGCACTATCAGGTTAGTGTGTACAGGACACAGGGTTGCATGACCTCCCCCCTACTAACAGGGCTAGCGGGGATCCCTCTGTTTCGTGGGTAAATTAGGGGACCAATCAGACGCGCTCCCAGGGGAGAGGAGGTGGGGCCAAGAGTGGGCAGGGCTGTGTCAGTTTGCATGAATGGAACCCTAAGAGGCGGCACTGGGCTTTAATCCGCAGACATGTCCCCGCGCTCGCGCTGCAGTGCTAGCACCTTCGAGCAGCAAGCCGACAACTGAGGAGGGCCCGCGTTGCATGCTGGGAGTTGTAGTCCGATCGGAGCCGCAAGGCCTGCTGGGAGTAGTGGTCTCGCGGATCCTGCCTAGGTGCTTTGGGTTCGGCTCGCGGTGTGGCCCCACCCCGTTCACCTAGAGTGACCAATCGCGAGTCTCTCCTGCTGACCAGTCTCGGAGTGTCCGCGGAAGCTAAGGTCAGAGGGCGGGGCTTGCACCGCGGTCCTTGCAGGAGCCGGAGAGGGGGCTGCGGAGGTGAGAGCGACGGAAGTCACTCACGATTTGCCATGGCAACCGGGGTCTGCCTCGGGCCCGGGGGTCGCTGCCCCAGGCGGGGAGTGAGATCCGGCCCTGTCTGTGCCACCCCCACGCGGCGCCAGCCCCGCAGCGCCATTACCCCCTCTCCCGCCCCCCCGCGGCGCCAGCCCGTCCCCCGCCCCCCCCCGCTCTCGCTCGCGTCCTTGTTTTGTTGAGACCCGGCATCGCCTCACCACGTTCAAAAATCATGACTCGGACCCGCCCCCTCCATCAGGGGACGTGCTTAACTACCCCCCCCCCCCCCGCAGTTCTAGACGCCAACAAACACCAGGGGGGTTCCGGGTCGTCAGAGTCCCTGTTTTCAGGCTTTCCTTGAGGGCTGCGAGCAGTGGGAAATTTACTTTTAAAAAGCCGGAGGCTGAGAGTCTGCTATAATCCCGTGATTCCAGGAGCTGGGGCTTTAAGAAAGACACCAAGTGTCACCAGAGCTGCAACACTGGACGAGTGGTGTCCCTTAAACCAGGAAACACAACACCACTGACAATCCAGTTTTAATAATAAAGGTAACCTAACACTGAAATTAGTATTTTTTGACAGTATTTATCATTAAATCATTGCACTGACTAAGGGCCTTATCTTGGGAATACTAGTACACTTAAATAACTGTACAGGTGAGGAGTCCCATTGAGTTCAATGCTTTTTTTACTTGCATGAAGATATGTGTGTGATTTCATTTGGGCTCCGCACAAGCACAGCAGAATTCCTGTTTGCAATGAATTGTGGAATTGGGGCAGTTGTGTATAGTCTGAAAAAAAAATGTGCTTATCATAAATAATTCTCCCAAACATGAGAAGGTCTTTCCCTCTGACATGTAGGATCCAGTCTGTGCAAGAGATAAACAAATCTTTGTCCTATGTTTCTCTCCTCCTTTCCACTCAAGGCAACACATTTCACCAAAAGAATGAGAAAACTTTCACCTGTTCAATCAAGGTAAAAGGCATTGCAGTGCATCCACACTATGAAAAAGGTTGTGGTTAGATCAGTTAACACACACTGACCTCACTTCAACCCCTATTTCTAGTATAGGCAAGCTTGATGTTTTCATAACTTGCACTAGTACTGTTGTCCTGTACATTGTATTTGTCCGAGTTAAAAACTGATCCTAGACTCATTGAATTCAGTAGCAAACTTACCATTAACTTCATTGGGAGCAGGGTTATTTTCTACTCCTGCTGTGTATCTTAAACTTTTGCTCTACATGAACAAAGATGCTTAAAGTCTTTGCTACTAAATCAATTTACAAGTGCTACATATATTACAATTTGGTTATTTTAGATTCCTCTGTATGCTATTTCAGGTCACTATGAAGGCTCTGTATTGTCAGCAGAATTCAGCTGGAGAGGAAATTGCATTTGTCTTCCAGGAAAGGGTGAGTTCAGATTACAGAAGAACTGTTAATCATGTGCTGAGAGAAGGGAATATGTTCCTGTGTGGATCAATTATTAAGCATCTTTCATCTGTTTTACTTTCTCACGGCTATGTTCTCATATCTGCATGTAAAATTATCCAAGTGTCAAAATGAAACTATTTATCTTAGATAAGAATTGTCAATCTACTGCATTGGGTTAGTAGTGGTGAACCATATTAGCTGAGGCACCTGGACAGAGGGATGTGGTGGGAGGGATGGTTGTAGTGTAAATAAAAATTAAAAAAGCAACTAACAACATATATACTATTTTGCTTCTATGTTATTTGTCTGCTTGTCCTTTTAGATTTTAAGCTCTTCAGAATGTGGCCTATCTCTGTATATGTTTGTACAGCACCTACTACAGTGGAGTCCTGGTCCTGACTGGGGTCTTTAAACACTATTATAATTGAATAATCATTTTAAAAAGTAAAACTTCTGTGGGAAAGGAAAGCCAGTCTCCATCTAAACAGACCACCACCTAGTGAGGATATCTTGGGGGAGCACAGAGGGATGTCAGGTGCAGTGGTGGATTAGCCACTGGGCTGATGGGGCCTGTTCCTGGGGCCCTGGAAAAAATTTGCCACCGAGTGATGGAAGCCTGGAGCCCCTGTGCCTCGACCTCACTCCCTGACAGCAGTGCAAGGTGGGCGTGGCAGGGGAAGCCCCCAGAAACCCCCTGGATCCCAACCTTGGCGGAAGCCGCAGGGTGGCAGAGGAAGCCCCCAGCACCCCCTGACTCTGTCCCCGGCAGAAGCTGCAGGGCAGCAGGGGAATCCCCTGGTCCCGACCCCACTCTCTGGCAGAAGTGCAGGGCAGGTGGGGTGGGAGAAGCCCCAGTGCCCCGACCCTGGTCCCCTGCAGAAGCGTGGGGGGTTGCAGGGGAAGCCCCAGCACCCAGACCCCCCGCTGTGGCCCAGGACTGGAGGAGCTCTCGCTACCTGTCATGACCTCAGGGCTGGGGGAGCTCTCACTTCCCGCTGCGACTCCAGGGACAGAGCTGCTCTGGTCTTGAGGACACAGTGTGGGCGGGGGAGGGACAGAAAGGAGCAAACATGTTGGGAGACTGCAGTGAGGGGGGGGCAGAATGGGAGTGAGTCCCTGGGTGGAACGGGACCATGCCCGGGGAATGGACAGAAAGGGGTGAGGCCATGGCCGGGACCGCAAGTGGAAGGGGCGGAATGGGTGAGGAGGGGCCCACCACTTGCTCTGGCCCAGGGCCCCAGGAAACCTTAATTCACACCTGGTCAGGGGCCTCAAGAGAGGTAGCATGGATTAAAGTGGAGGTACCTTTATGGGGATAACAGGCCACCATTGGCCTTCACCCCATGATCTTGTTATTTCCAAATAATGAATGAGGAAGAGTGCCAGGATCAGCCTCCCCAAAGAGGCACACACCACCTCATCTGTTTCTTGTTCTTATGAGAGAGTGGTATGTTTTCTACATCTCTATAAAAACTACATTGTTTGTATTGTGGTAGTGACCAGTGGCCCCAGTTAGAAATAAGGACCCCATTGGGCTAGGCACACCTAACTGAAAGACAGACCCTGCCCCAAAAGTTTACAGGCTAAGTTTGGTATATTTTTAAATATAAATTTGCTTTATTTGGAAACCCTTTGGCTTCAGAAAAAGTTATGATTGTTTAATTGAGTTAGATTATCTTTTTTGAACAGTCTCGTGGCTTAGCAGTAGTTCTCTGCACATCAAAGAGGGAGAACCCGGTTTGGTTGTTGAGCTGGCATCTTCCTCCCCCAGATTAGCAAAAAGCCTTGCAATTTGGACCTGTGGGATGATCTTGAGTAACTAAGCAAGAGCCAGAGAAAGTTCAGCTCAGTCTTCCTCAGAAAAAAAGTTGTTGGTCAGTCTAATGGATAAGCCCAGGGGAAAAATTAAAGCAGAGAACATTTTAAGGAAAATCTAAACACTCTAGTGGAGGGATCGGCAACCTTTGGCATGCGGCCCATCAGGGAAATCCGCTGGCGGGCCGGGACAGTTCGTTTACCTGCAACGTCCGCAGGGTCAGCTGATCACAGCTCCCACTGGCCACGGTTCACTGTTCCAGGCCAATGGGAGCTGCGGGAAGCGGTGGCCAGCACATCCCTCTGCCCACAGCGAACCGCGGCCAGTGGGAGCTGCAATCAGCTGAACCTGCGGACGCTGCAGGCAAACAAACTGTCCTGGCCCGCCAGCGGATTTCCCTGATGGGCCGCTTGCCAATCCCTGCTCTAGTGAAATCCTAGGCCTAATGAAGTCAATGGCAAAACTCCTGTTGACTTCAATGGGACCAGAATTTCACTTCCAATCTGAGGTGCTAAGGAGGACATCCTGGGTGGAATGTGATGGGAGGGGCTGGACCTTTTAAACAACTGAACTTTTCCTGTTGTAATACATGGTGACTATCCTTTGTGGAGCCTAAAATTGTAATCCTTACTTGTGCAGATAATTCTTTTGACTTTAGTTGGGCTACTTGCATGTGACTACTCTCATGGTTAGGCCCAGTCCTGCCACACTTAACACTTGAGTCTTAAAAAATTCTAGTCTTAAGATTCTCCCCATTTACTTCAAAATTGTTCCATTTTGCTTGCTTTTTCTTTAGCTTACATTAGACAGATGTAAAGGAATAGCATGCAGGTTTGTAAAGTTATCTGGCAAAAGAAAACTTACATTTTTTTCCTGTTATCTCAGTAGTGAGATTTAGTAAGGTATTTAATGTTCTTATGTTTGTTCATAACACAAAAGTACACTCAAAATTAAAATCTGATGATATACAGTATGTAAATCCATTATGGCCTGCAGTTTCCTATTTTCCTTTGA